GAGATTCATTCTGGACTTGTTTCAAAGATAACATGTAGGCAAGTAAGTTTATTCAGGTATACACATATACAGATACATTGATTATCATACATACACAGTAGGTGGCCAGGCCTCGAGCACCTTGTGTTACAGGAGGTGGCCAGGCCTCGAGCACCTTGTGTTACAGGAGGTGGCCAGGCCTCGAGCACCTTGTGTTACAGGAGGTGGCCAGGTCTCGAGCACCTTGTGTTACAGGAGGTGGCCAGGCCTCGAGCACCTTGTGTTACAGGAGGTGGCCAGGCCTCGAGCACCTTGTGTTACACAGGTGGCCAGGCCTCGAGCACCTTGTGTTACACAGGTGGCCAGGCCTCGAGCACCTTGTGTTACAGGAGGTGGCCAGGCCTCGAGCACCTTGTGTTACACAGGTGGCCAGGCCTCGAGCACCTTGTGTTACACGAGGTGGCCAGGCCTCGAGCACCTTGTGTTACAGGAGGTGGCCAGGTCTCGAGCACCTTGTGTTACACAGGTGGCCAGGCCTCGAGCACCTTGTGTTACAGGAGGTGGCCAGGCCTCGAGCACCTTGTGTTACAGGAGGTGGCCAGGTCTCGAGCACCTTGTGTTACATACATCATGATCTTCCAAACGTATCCCAACACCTGAAACCCATTCTCTTTGCTGACGACACGACTTATGTCATCTCTCACTCTAATCTTGCCACCCTCAACACCATTGTTAACGAGGAGCTGATCAAAATATCGACTTGGATGACAGCCAATAAACTTACGCTTAACACTGACAAAACCTACTATATTATGTTTGGTAGCAGAGCAGGAGATGCACAAATTAACATTAAGATCGACAACACTCTAATTACCAGACATAATGAGGGCAAATTCCTAGGCCTATACCTTGACAACAACCTGAATTTCAGCACCCATATCCAACACATAACCAAAAAAGTATCCAAAACGGTTGGGATCCTCTCCAAGATACGATACTACGTGCCGCAAAATGCCCCTCTCACACTATACCACTCACTTATTTATCCATACCTCACCTATGCTATTTGTGCTTGGGGATCAACTGCAGCAACACACCTAAAGCCAATAATAACCCAACAAAAAGCCGCAGTAAGAATAATCACTAAATCCCATCCCTGGCAATACCCCCTTCCCCACTCTTCATAGATCTAAACTTACTCCCTGTTCAGTACATCCACACTTACTACTGTGCAATCTACATCTACAGGACCTTAAACTCCAATATCAACCTTGACCTAAAACGCTTTCTTGATAGTTGTGACAGAACCCACAGGCATAACACCAGACAAACATCTCTACGACATTCCCCGTGTCCGACTAAACCTTTACAAAAATTCAATGTATTCAAAGGCCTAAATTGGAAACCCTCTGAGAACTCTAGAACTGCAGACACATTCAATCCCCTTCAAAACTACCATTAGAAAACATCTTATCTCCCTGAAACCCCGTCAACTACTACACGAATACCACCTGGTGTTCACAACTTACACTCACTCACCCATTTGACCAAAAACAGAAATATTATCTAAATCTTAAAATAAGAATCCTGTGATACTCCAATACTGAAAACTATGGTACTGTTCCAAACAAATCATTCACATGCTAAACTCACAACTATATTTAGTCACTTAGCCATAATACAAAACTTACCTCTAATTTGTAAAATTTAAAATAAGAATTAAACTAAGTCTGCCCGAAATGCCTAGCCCCGCTAGGTGTTCTAGTGGTACACTCTGTAATCATTATTTTACTACATGTAAACCACACAATAACCAAATTCTGTAAACTCAGCATTGTAATCCTTATAGAGAATAAACTTTGAATAGGTGGCCAGGCCTCGAGCACCTTCTGTTACATAGGTGGCCAGGCCTCGAGCGCCTTGTGTTACATAGGTGACCAGGCCTCGAGCACCTTGTGTTACACAGGTGACCAGGCCTCGAGCACCTTGTGTTACACAGGTGAGCAGGCCTCGAGCACCTTGTGTTACATAGGTGACCAGGCCTCGAGTACTTTGTTACATAGGTGGCCAGGCCTCGAGCACCTTGTGTTACACAGGTAGCCAGTCTCGATCACTTGTGTTACATAGTGACAGGCTCACACCTTGTGTAATAGGTGGCCGGGACCTCGAGTACCTTGTGTTACACAGGTAGCCAGGCCTCGAGCACCTTGTGTTACATAGGTGACCAGACCTCGAGTACCTTGTGTTACACAGGTAGCCAGGCCTCGAGCACCTTGTGTTACACAGGTAGCCAGGCCTCGAGCACCTTGTGTTACACAGGTAGCCAGGTCTCGATCACCTTGTGTTACATAGGTGACCAGGCCTCGAGCACCTTGTGTTACATAGGTGGCCAGACCTCGAGTACCTTGTGTTACACAGGTAGCCAGGCCTCGAGCTCCTTGTGTTACATAGGTGACCAGACCTCGAGTACCTTGTGTTACACAGGTAGCCAGGCCTCGAGCACCTTGTGTTACACAGGTAGCCAGGCCTCGAGCACCTTGTGTTACACAGGTGGCCAGGCCTCGAGCACCTTGTGTTACATAGGTGACCAGGCCTCGAGCACCTTGTGTTACACAGGTGGCCAGGCTTCGAGCACCTTGTGTTACACTGCAATAAAGGAGTGTCAGGGACTGGTTGATCGTGTCAAGGACAGTCTCTGTATAAACCAGTTTAAGAGAGGTGTGTAGTGAGTGTATGAAGCAGTGAGGGAGGACACACATTTTGCGTAGATAATAATCGTGCAACTCTCATATTCCACTGTTTTTTTTTTCTTAATTCTCAAGCATTTCACATCCATGTGATTGATTCACTCAGTTTATTTTGTGTTCAGTTATCATAACTGACTATCACTTCACCTAACAGTTATATGATACAAGGACTCCAGAGGACATTAAACCCTGACTTTTGTTGCAGTATCCTAGGTAATTTGATCATATATTACCATGTAAGACAATTGTAATCTTCAAAAACTGTGCAATATGCCTATAAAATCTACATAATATATATATATATATATAATATTATATAATATATTATATATATATATGTGTGCCGAATAGCAGAACTTGCGATTTTGGGTTTAAATAGCACGCTGTCTTGCCATATGGCAAGGAAAATTTGTGTTGCAAAAATTTCCCCAAAAACCCATTCGAACCTATCGAAAAAAAATATATTTCACTGTTTTTTTTTGTATTAATTATTGTAAAAAATCTAAAATATATTTAGTTGGTTAGGCTAAAATAAATTGTTTTTGTTAAAAATAAGTTGGGTAAGTTTTCTAATTTCCTTTTTGGGTGCAAAATTATAAATTTTTACGTCAACATAATGAAAAAAATATATCTTTAAAACGTTAAGGAAAAATTTTAGAAAGGACTTAATTTTAAATGACTTTTTCAATTTGCCCCAGTTTTTACATATTCGGCACGAATAATATAAAAAAATAAATATATATATAAATTATATATATATATTTTAATAATAATATATATATATCATACATAAATATATATAAATTATATAATATAAATAATATTATATATATATATATATAATATAACATATATATCCCTGAAAAATTTATATAAATATATAAAAATATATAATATATATTATATAATATATATATAGTTTTAAAGTTATACATGAGAGTTTATTTTAATCCTATTGTAAGCATTAATGAACCTTGTGTAGTCGTAATTAAAACTAACACTCAATCAACATGTTGTTCACTTTCCACAAGAATTTCCAACTTGTAGATCTTTCAGTGTATTTACACGAAAAATTACCTAATTTTTAAAATGGGGTTAAAAACATGGGTTAGGTATCGGTGAACCACGCTTTAATGACTCTCGTGTACTTCGTATTTTTTTTTTATAATTTTTATTTTTGAAATTCCCCGTTTTCTTAAGCAGGGGTACTTTTTTTATTGTTGTGGGAAATTGTAGCATGAAGATTAAAAAAAGGAAAAAAAAAACAATACAGCCAATAATAAAGGAGGGGGTGTAGCTGAAGTTTTTCTTTTAGGGCCCGGGGGCGCTACTGAAGACATCACTGTGTTAAACAAAGATTTGGTTATGAATTTGAGTCATTCTAAGCAAGTGGAGCCACAATTTTCCGATTTTTCTGACTGTAATGACTCCAGCGGATTACTAACCCAGGATAGTCAAAAAGCACCAAGGCAAGGGGGGGGGGGTTATTTCTTCTTGTGTCCTTCAGTGCCTCTCCCCAGTGAATAACATCCAGGTATTTGTCTTCCGTTTGGTGAACAGGGGGAGCAGGTGAACGGAAACATGCCCATGTCAAGTGTTTTAGAGTTGAGTTGTGGTATTAAATAAGTTTGTGTGTGTGTTGTGTGTGTGTGTTTATGTCAATGTGCTACGAGTTTTAGAACATTCTTCTTGAAGCAAATTCTTGTGTGTTGAGGGTGGTGTATTTGTTATTATCATCGAAATACGATATAAACCAAAGTGTGGCCACCCTGATCTATATGACGGTTTTTCTGTCATCCTTCACCATTTAGGAGGGCTTTCCTTTCGTACTTCTCCACTTAGAATGTTTTTTTTCTGGCATATTCAATCGCACAGAAAGGTAATGAAATAAATCAGTCTGAGCTGGGAGATTTCAGGAGGGTGACGAGGATATGGTGGACAAAACTGTATGTAGGAATAACGTGTGAGAGACTCTGTAATGAAATATTATCCAGTAAACGGATATGGAGGCAAGTATGCCGTCCTGTGTAGACAGGAAGACCATTGTTTGAGGTCAATAACAGTGCTAAGGTATTACTGCAAATAACTTACTTGATAGCTGCGTAAAAGACTGAAGTACATATAACGAACTTGAGGAAGTGCATTACTTGTCAACGAAACATTGTGTACCTCTAATGAAGTTTTTTTTTTTCTATTTTTTTTTTTTGTGTGTCTTTCTTATCACTACTTGTCGTTTTATTTATTTATTTTTTTTTTTGCCATAATTTCACTTACTTGATGGTTGCTTCGCACTCAGCTCATCACCTTAGTGTTGCTTCAGTACCTGTTGGTGCAGCGGCGCGTCGAGCACACACGCACAGCCTCCCTCAACTGGTTTGTAGCGCCCTCACTTGATACATAAACGCCCTGTGACCTACCTCCCCTTCCTTCCCTCCCTCCCTCCCTCACACCACTTGCCTCCGTCGTTTATCTTCATCACCCATTCCGTGTCCCTCGTCGCTCTTTTTCTCTCACACATCATGTTCATCGTTCTCTCTACTCACCTGTTCTAGTCATCGCTTTCTCCTTCACCCCCACCCACCCTATCCATCATCCACTCCTTCACCCCACATGCCCCTTTCAGCGTCTCCCCATCACCAACACCCTCCATTCTTCCCCTATCCCCCACCCCCATCAACCGTGATGGAAGATGGGGTGAACGAACCAGGTGACTAACAAGATTCACCAAACTCTCCCACCTGCTCTCCAGGACACACTAAGCAGTCTACTGAGTCATAACACGAGTTTATTCCTACTCCGCGACCACCAATACAAACTCAAAAACTATCGTTATACAACGAATTAAAATGCGCAAAGCAACGATCTCACAAAGAAACAAAGTACTTAGAACTCTTCCCCTATACGGCAATCATTTTCCGAGGCGGTGCGCCTGGCTACTGAATATTCAGTGTTATTAGAGTGAATGTAGGTGATAACTGTGTGTGAGAGTGTGTGCGCTGAGCCTAGCTGAGCGGCAGCTGTTGTGTACAAGTTTCCATTGACAGAATTCAGCCTGTGTGAGAATAATGTGAGCATATCTTCAGAGTTGGCAGCAACACTCGCGCTGGGAGCCAGAAAGCTGGACCCATAACTCTCTCTCTCTGCTGGGCACTGGCGTCTAGCAGGTGCCTCTGACACACCTGTGATAGGTTTCCAGGGTTTTGATACCCTCTCAGCCCCGTCACGAGGCTTCCTTAAAATTGTAAGGCGTGCTTGGGATCGACGTGACGGGGTTAGATTCATGCACCCGGAGCTGTGTGTGTCTCCAGCTCAGCTACCACGACCGGTTTTTCTGTGATAATGAAAATGTCTCTTGTCGAGGGTAAGACACGATGAACAACTCAGCGGCTGACTCCTGGTGTACCAATGTTGGTTATCCCCATCTGGTGTACCAGTGTTGGATATCCACTCCTGGTGTACCAATGTTGGGTATCCACTCCAGGTGTACCAGTGTTGGGTATCCACTCCTGGTGTACCAATGTTGGGTATCCACTCCTGGTGTACCAGTGTTGGGTATCCACTCCTGGTGTACCAGTGCTGGGTATCCACTCCTTGTGTACCAATGTTGGGTATCCACTCCTGGTGTACCAATGTTGGGTATCCACTCCTGGTGTACCAGTGTTGGGTATCCACTCCTGGTGTACCAATGTTGGGTATCCACTCCTGGTGTACCAATGTTGGGTATCCACTCCTGGTGTACCAGTGTTGGGTATCCACTCCTGGTGTACCAGTGCTGGGTATCCACTCCTGGTGTACCAATGTTGGGTATCCACTCCTGGTGTACCAATGTTGGGTATCCACTCCTGGTGTACCAGTGTTGGGTATCCACTCCTGGTGTACCAATGTTGGGTATCCACTCCTTTTGTACCAATGTTGGGTATCCACTCCTGGTGTACCAGTGTTGGGTATCCACTCCTGGTGTACCAGTGTGGGTATCCACTCCTGGTGTACCAATGTTGGGTATCCACTCCTGGTGTACCAATGTTGAGTATCCACTCCTGGTGTACCAGTGTTGGGTATCCACTCCTGCTGTACCAATGTTGGGTATCCACTCCTGGTGTACCAATGTTGGGTATCCACTCCTGGTGTACCAGTGTTGGGTATCCACTCCTGGTGTACCAGTGCTGGGTATCCACTCCTGGTGTACCAATGTTGGGTATCCACTCCTGGTGTACCAATGTTGGGTATCCACTCCTGGTGTACCAGTGTTGGGTATCCATTCCTGGTATACCAGTGCTGGGTATCCACTCCTGGTTTACCAGTGTTGGATATCCACTCCTGGTGTACCAGTGTTGAGTATCCACTCCTGGTGTACCAGTGCTGGGTATCCACTCCTGGTGCACCAATGTTGGGTATCCACTCCTGCTGTACCTGTGTTGGGTATCCACTCCTGTTGTACCTGTGTTGGGTATCCACTCCTGTTGTACCTGTGTGGGGTATCCACTCCTGTTGTACCTGTTTTGGGTAACCACTCCTGCTGTACCTGAGTTGGGTATCCACTCCTGTTGTACCTGTGTTGGGTATCCACTCCTGTTGTACCTGTGTTGGGTATCCACTCCTGCTGTACCTGTTTTGGGTAACCACTCCTGCTGTACCTGTGTTGGGTAACCACTCCTGCTGTACCAGTATTGGGTATCCACTCCTGCTGTACCTGTGTTGGGTATCCACTCCTGCTGTACCAGTATTGGGTATCCACTCCTGCTGTACCAGTATTGGGTATCCACTCCTGCTGTACCTGTGTTGGGTATCCACTCCTACTGTACCTGTGTTGGGTATCCACTCCTGCTGTACCTGTGTTGGGTATCCACTCCTGCTGTACCTGTGTTGGGTATCCACTCCTGCTGTACCTGTGTTGGGTAACCACTCCTGCTGTACCTGTGTTGGGTATCCACTCCTGCTGTACCTGTGTTTGGTATCCACTCTGCTGTACCTGTGTTTGGGTATCCACTCCTGCGTGTCACCAGTATTGGGTATCCACTCCTGCTGTACCAGTATTGGGTATCCACTCCTGCTGTACCAGTATTGGGTATCCACTCCTGCTGTACCAGTATTGGGTATCCACTCCTGCTGTACCAGTATTGGGTACTCTCACAGACAGTTCTTGCAGATTATTAAACATGTATTCATAAAGTAGCACTAAACCCGTAGGGACCAGTGCCTGGAGAATGAGAGTCAATTAGGGCTGATATAAAAATGGAGGAAGAGTCGTTCTGATTCCTCGGATCAAGAGCTCTTCATCAACTCGAAGACACTCTGAGGTGTGACTAAATCTTAAAATGAGATTTAGACAATGTTTCGAGATTTTTTGTTGTCATCTTCAGGTCTACGAAAAGAAAAAATAATACAGAATTACGTATAGACAAAATTATTCAATTGAAATTTAGAAAATAAAGTTACCATATAATTAAAATACATTTTTTTTTTAATTCGGTTCTCACAATTTTTTTTAATTTGTTCTTACAATTTGTTTTATTTTGTTAAAACAAAAAATAATGGAATAAATTTGCAGATTTATATTACTGACTATAACAGTTGTATAATAATAGTTTATATAGAAAATAGTAAAGATGAAGTAACTTTTATTGATTATAACTGACAACAACAAAAGTGGACACAACACAAGACCTGAAATTCTTAACACAAGTGACCTCCACACACAGGACAGAGCTGCTGACAACGATGTTTCGCTCCGCTTTGGATCATTTACGTTACTGCTTTGACTTTGTAAATGATCTAAATCGTTCCGAAACGTCGTAGTAAGTCTCTCTCTTAAGTGTGGGGTTATTCGTGTATTGTTCCGGTCACGGTACTGTAACATGTCAGAGTGAGAGTAACAACAGACTAATAAACTGTTATACAAATAGCACTTCGCTTTAACTACAATAAACTAGGCATTCTACAGCGTTTACTGCTATCAAACAAATGAATAATGACATAAAAATTACCTTGGCAAGCCAGAGGAGCTTCCACTGATTAAACACTTTATTAAGTGTAGTGGACTCTGACACACCGTTGATTTGTGGATGAATGGTTCAGGGAATGATTACCTCAAACTCCTTCTGATCTTCACCATTTTTCATTATACTGGACTGATGAAGCCACTGTGTGGCGAAACGTTTCGTCAGTAAAGATACCCAAGTGTTGCACATGTGTCTAATTTATCAACACAGTTGTGTCAGTACTCCTGCCAGAGTACTGACACAACACTGGCTGACCAGTGGTGTAACACACTCAACAGTGTTGGGGTTGTGGCGTAAAGGCAGGTGTGTAACAGTGTTGTGGCTGTGACGCCAGGGCAGATGCTTAGTAAGAAAAGGAACTGGAAGGGAAGACAGCCAATAAAATAATGGAGATGATAGTAATAAAGTAACGGGAAATTGACTTGGAACTCCTGGAAGCAAAAGAAACAGTGACACGAACAGAGTGGTTCACTCGGTGGTGCTGAGAGATCGTGGTTCACTCGGTGGTGCTGAGAGATCGTGGTTCACTCGGTGGTGCTGAGAGATCGTGGTTCACTCGGTGGTGCTGAGAGATCATGGTTCACTCGGTGGTGCTGAGAGATCGTGGTTCACTCGGTGGTGCTGAGAGATCATGGTTCACTCGGTGGTGCTGAGAGATCGTGGTTCACTCGGTGGTGCTGAGAGATCATGGTTCACTCGGTGGTGCTGAGAGATCGTGGTTCACTCGGTGGTGCTGAGAGATCATGGTTCTCTCGGTGGTACTAAGAGATCCTGGTTCACTCCCAGGTACTGAGAGGCAAGAGTTGAAAGTGCTAGAGCATGGCAAACTACAGAAAAGAACACGGGAAAACAAGGAAGAGAGCAGAAGAGCCAAAAACGAATACTCATTAATAAGAAGAGAGACTGAAAGACAATTTGAAAATGACGTAGCCTCGAAAGCCATATCTGATCCTGAGCTGCTGTACAGCCACGTCAGGAGGAAGGTAACAGTCAAGTGATCGCGATAAAGAAGGTAGTAGGAAAGCTCACGAGAAATAACCTGGAAGTCATTTTCTTAGGATTATATGCCACAACAGCCGACTATCCCCTAAAGGATCCCCAAGGATCCTAGGAAGCCCCAGGGAGGGCACCTATGAGGCCCTCTAAGAAGGCACCTTGGAACCTTCTTGTGAATGCACCTAGGAGGTCCCCCAGGAAGGCACCTAAGAGGCCTCTCAGGAATCCACCTAGGAGGCTTCTCAGGAAGGCGCCTAGGAAGTCTCCCAGGAAGGCGCCTAGGCCTCGCAGGAAGCAAGGGGCAGGATTCACCAGTTCTTCCCCAACAGTGACAGGAATATGCTAATTCTCTCAGGTGAAAGTTAACCCAGTTGACATAC